CAGCTGCTTCCAAATCAAGAAAGTCTTGTAACATAAATTGTTTTGTATTGTAAATTGAGTATCTCAAAAATAATGTAACTATTCGTCAATCGAGCCAAGCTTCATTGCATGTATTATTAGCTATTATCTGTTGAGACTGTTCGCTATTGAAAATATATTTTGGACATTTTTCTATTGGTTTTACAGCAGACCATTCCATTAGATAAGAGAATCAACTTTAGTTACACCCAGCAAACAACAATAACAATCATTCACTGACCATGAACGGCATGCGTCACTTCCCAAGGTCAAGAAAAATAAATCAGCAAATGGATCTGATAAGAATAATGATCATGATAAATGTTTTCTGAATCTGTCGAAAATGGACATTGAAACTCTAATCTTACTTGTACGTAAGGATGCTACTTATCAAGGTGATCTTCATCATACATGTATATTAATGAAACTATTAATGAATATTATCAACAAATAATTATGACAAGTGATATGAAAACTGTTCAATCAAGTATATTAACAGATGAACAGATCATAATGATTCCAAAGGAATCATTTATTCACGAACTTAGCCATGAAATTGACTTTACATTATTTAAAGATAATGCATATATTTTATTTGTTATATCAAAGTTTTTGACTAGTCTTGGCTTTTATATTCCCTATAGTTTTGCTAATCATTTAGCAATCGATGCAAATATTACTGAACATCGTCGACATTGAATTATTATGTCAATGGATGTTGATAATTGTGTTGGTCGTGTTATAGTTGAATGTCTTGGCGATTTTGAATGGGTAGAAATTCTTTTTTTTTTTATGAAAGAATAATGTTTGTTATTTATTTATTTTATTAGGTTAACCGTTTAAATCTATACAATATAGCACTGCTTATTGCTGGTCTAACTACAATGGCAGCATCACTTTGTCCTTTAATTGTTTATTATCGTATGACTTATGCATTCTTTTACTAACGTTTCTCTGGTGATTATCTTTGTTTGATGTCAGCTGTTGGTAGTGATCTAGTTGGTATAGACGGAGTGTATAATGCTCTCGGTATAGTTTATTTATTTCAAGGTGTTGCCACCGATATTGGTATACCCATTGTTGGCAAGAAGAAGAAAAAAAACTTGTTTTTCTTTTGACTATATTTTCTTATATATATATATATAAGGAAACATATGTGATAAACTCAAGGATTTTTCTCAACCGTACCGTTGACCTCATTTTCATATTTGATAGTTCAATTATTTTAAGTGGTGTTATTTTATTTTTTATTTCAATATTAAAACGACGACAAGAACGTCGTTAAAAACTAACAAAATATCAACGAGATATGAAAGTTATAACGTTTTCAAAACAAACGTCAACATCTGAAAAACAATTGCAACAATTGTAAATTATTACTTTCGATTTATCGTTCTATATAATCTGGAAATTAACATACAGTTTTTTTCAATGTTTTTCTGATGCCATAAATATGAAGGTTATACGACGAAGAAGATAAAATTATAAAAGATTCTTAAAATATTGTATTTGTTTTTAATAAAATTCTATTTGGAACATTGTTCTCATTGTTTGTAATCTTGCCTTTGTTTTTATTTAAAAAACTCCTCTCTCAGATATTATTAGGTGTCTTTTTCTTGTGACATGACGCCTCCTTTTGTTTCTTTATTTATTAAGGTTAAAATCGATAAAAAGCATATCATCATAGCAAAGACATGAATTTTTAGATAATTTTATTTACTTTTTAATTTTATATTTACATAAAAAATGAAGACGTGACAAAGAAAATCAGAAGAAGAAAATAATAAACTCATGACTTTCATGAAAATCAGAGCTTCGAACTAAAATTTCAAATGACTTTTTTCTTTTTATTCGTAATTACATAGAAAAAAAGTATCATACTGCGATGTTTGTTGACTCATAATGACAATGATTTCATAGAACGAGAAAAACATATATAGAATGATTACATGCGTGTTTCGTTATGTTTTTGGAGGCTTTTTCTTTTTCTTTTTTTTTTTCACTTGCTCGCCTTTCTCATTTGATTATTCACGTTGGTAGGGTAGTATTTATTTTTTTGCACTGTATCTGTATATTTTAGATATAGCTAAACAGCGATGCCTGTATTCAATAGTCGAATTTGAAATATATTTTAGATGCCACCACCGCCTCCACCACCACCACCACCACCGCCACCACCACCACCACCACCTTCCTCAGCACCACCAACAACAGGTGGCGCCGATCGATCAGGCCTTCTAAATGAAATTGGTGGTTTCAACAAAGGTGGTCTGAAAAAAGCCGTGACTAATGATCGAAGTGCTCCAATTGTTGGAAATTCCACCAATAATAACAATACAGCCAATAGAACCAATACTCCTGTTTCTGTATCAAGTTCAGCTGCAAATCGATCAAATGCAAATGAAAGACCCAATACTGCTCCTGTAGCCGGTCCATTCAGTATCACAGCAGATCTACTTAATAGGCCTCTAAAATCAACCGGTGGTAGTAGTGGATTGACAGTTAAACCTTTAAAAACTGAAAAACCACTGACTCCACAATTTGTTCCTCCTGTCATTCCGCAATCATCGCCACCAGTGAAACCAACAAATGTCAAATCATTTCATCCAACAACAACTTCTGCTTCGCCGCCTTCTTCTCCTCCTCCTCCTCCACCTCCCCCACCACCTCCACCACCACCCCAAATACCACAACCAGTTGTCCAACCGTCTCAATCACCAATAATGTCATCTGATGTATCTCGAACTGGAAGTAAGAATACTTTTGAAATGAAATTTTATTGAACTTGATTATATCATTGTACTGTATTATCTAGCTGATGGAGGAGCTTCAACAAGACATTTCACTCATCATTCTCCATCAACTCAAGCAACTCAACAACCACCGAAGCTTCCTCCCCGGCAACCTCCCCCACCACCACCATCGCAACCATCGTCATTCACGTCGACACCAATATTATCTAATGAAAACAAGTTGAAGACTGTACAACAGCCGCAAAAATTTTCATCTTCAACAGGTTCATTTCATACTTTTCTTACTATTTGATAAAAAAAAATAGAATTCTATGTAAATATTTTTCTAGGTAATCAGCCAAATGTTACACGGGTACCACTACCACCACCACCACCACCGCCTCCTCCTCCTTCGAATTCATCTTCTATTTCAAATAACAATGGCCATACGCCACCTGTAACACTGAATCCAGAACATGTTGCGAAATTCAACATGATGATGAATCAAAACGGCCCTTCTTCCTCCAGTCCATCTCCACCACCACTACCTCCACCTAGAGGTATGGCCCCAAATAATTCTGGAGGTACAACACGTCGAGCGCCAGGAGTATCCGACTTCGTTGATAATACACCTGCTGAGCGTCGTTTTGATCAATGGAATACAGCAGCACTTGATTATGATCGTGATTTCGAACATCGTTTTCGATTTACTCCAATTGAACATCTTCCACCGCCTGGACTTTGGAAGCAACCATCATCAACTAAATCATCGAAAACTTCAAATGTTAACTAAAATTAAGCAATCAAAGAAATCGCTGAACTCTCTCGAAAAGAAAAAAAACAAGCACTTTTCCTTTAATCTTTTAATTTTTTTTCTCGGTGTTGTATTAAAAGAAAAGAGAAAAATACAGTGATCAGTTTCTTTTTTTTACCACGATGTAATTATTATTATTCATTATAATATATTTTTTTTCTTCGTCTGTTTGTCTAAGTTTAATTTAATTTTATCTTTTTCTTATTCTCATGTGTACAGAAAAAATACACATATGATGAAGAGGTTTTAAGGCAAAAAAAAGAAAACAAATTTATTACTATTTCGTTTTTATATAGATTTTGAACTACAAAATTATAGCGTTTTTGATGTCGAGTAAATTCAATGGAAATTAATTACGAACAATGGCAAATTATGAGAAGAGGTAGGGACGGCAAATGCCTCCCTCTTTGAAATTCATGTACGACTATAATCAAAATCTCTTTGTATTTCTATGAGATTCACAGAGACCAATAGTGTGTATTTCACACTAGTTCAAATCTTATAGTACTTATGTTCTGAAATGAACGATTCGAGACAAAGATAACAGCTTATACATATGTTCTATGTAGTGTTAATACTTGTATCAAGTATTTTTTCTTTTTTTGAATATAATTTCTATTCGCGTTAGATAGCTGATGAGTATTTGTAAGGCTTAGCATTGAAATAACCAATAGCTGTGCTAACAGTTCGTTAGTGTTCGTTTTGTTGATAATTAATAAGTATTGGATTCAGTAAAATACATCTACGTAATTTATGTTCCGGATCATGTTCAATGCAATAATATCTTCTTCTCAACTATCAAAATTCTTTTGCCAATTTATCAAATGTTATGAGTGACAACAGCCAAAGGCAAATGAAACTTTTTAGCATTAAAAGTTATTAAAAATCATAACATCAAAGTACAACAGGTGAAAATCATTTGAATGGACTACCTATGATGTATATGCATTCCATGATTCACATTAATATCAAACAACTCATCGACAAGTTTCTCAAAATCGAACAAATAGAATGCTAAAATTTCTTGTACGATTTATTTCTTGGTTGATGCTCAACCATGTCCGTTCGAAATTTTCTAGATTCACCATTGATTGCCTATTTCTAATGGACATGAAATTGAAATGATGCAAAATGTTTATAAAAAGATATAAAAAAATCCAATATTCTACAAACTTCAATTAATAAATTATGGTTAAAAAAGGACTTAAGAAAAACCATAATTTGTTATAAAAGAATATATTTTATTCAAAAATATAATGGTTCACAATTAACAAAAGATTCATTTATTTTTCATAATAGTAATTTAATAATTATGTTTCAAATATTTTCAAATGAATCTATATGTATGAATCATTGTGTAGATTGATGTTTTGTCTTAAAATAATCTTTCTTTTGTCTACACATTACAGAGAAAAACAACCTAATACATGGTATTATTAGTCTTCTTGTTCTGTCCACACATCTAACTGTATATGATGACGAGTTTGTTCATCTGATGGTACATAAATACGTTCAATAGGAACACGAAGTTGATCGAGTTGATCTTTTGGTAAAACAGCGTTATTATATTGAGTTTGAACAAATGAAGTTATATCAATAATACGTATAATATCCCGACCGTCAAGAAAACTTTCAATTTTTTTAAGACCTAATTGAATAGCTCGACGACCATTGACTGATTGGCCATGTGGATGATGATCAGGATCCCATTGTAAACGAATTAATCCTTGATGAGTTTTATTTTTCGAATCTTGTTCATCATCTTGAGGAAGACCTTTATGTGAACTATGTACTGCTTGTGCTAAATAACTATCAAATGCTGAACGTCGGAGCCATATTGCTAAAATACGTTGTTGATTAGATGATGTTGCCCATTGAGATCGATACATCATCCAAAGAAAATTCGTTTTTATCCCTAAAATAAGATTTTTTTTTTATTCTTTCTAATAAATTCTAATTGAAATTGATATCCTACATGTCATTCGTTGTTGATTGTAACCAGGACATCCTCTAAAACGATTATTCTCACAGGCAAATTTTGCAATGTTTGAGTTATATGCTTGATAGACTATTATTGATTCATCATCAAACGATGCTAATATCCATCTACCAGGTGGATTCTCTTTGTTAGTTGGCCATCGACATTTTGCATCATTATATAATTCTGTAGAATTTTCATATTTACTTAACCAATCCATAGAACTCGACAGTCTCTTGTATACAGATAAAAATTTATAAGAAATTTTTACTACAGATGCCCAAACAGAAAATACTTCTAATATAGTATTTGAAAATATTGATGCATTCTTATGCAATAACATATGAGTAAATTACAACAAAAATATATATCAATTAGAATTATATATTATTTCATCATAATATCTTATTTAATCAGATTTAAAGATTTAACGAGTTCTTTTTTTAATGAATGCAATGCAATGAAATTTTAATTAAAATAAAAATTTGTGAATTATAGTGAAACGAATGAAAATACAGAACGCAAATTGTAATATGCTGCCATCTATTTCTTATATAGTAATCACAACTAGCAAAAACCATAGAACTATGTTATTCATAAATTGAATGGATTTACTTGCATATTTGAAGTTTATTTATTATGGTACTGTTCAAAATGCAAACAATTAAAACTTACATATCGAAGACATTCATAACGTTGACATACTATTGTTTTAGTTTTTCGATTCTTTTCTTACTAAACTTATTCAATTTTTGTCTACAAATTACTCTCATACGAAAAAAAATATCATGAACATAGTTAAAATATTTGAAAATGATGTTTTAACATTTCTATTTAAAAAATAACCATCTAAGTAAACTTGTTAATTGTTGAAAAGCTCGATTAAAAGATCAGTTTTTGTTCTTTTGATTATGCCACAATCGTTCAGTTTTTCCCCCCGAGGTTATTGACATAAACCGAATACAAAACGAACACATACTTCAATTCAAATTGAAATCTATTATAATACATGATATGTATATAGAAGTTAATATGTTTAAAGATAATATTTTCTAGATAATAAATTTGTTTAAAAATAAATATTTATAATAAAAAAAAAAAAAACTTCGTTTTTTCTATTAATCTATGCTAAAATAAATTTCTAATATAAAGACAATCCTTTTGCATTAAGTAAATGGCTCGTAAGATATTCTTTAAAAAAAAAACGACAATGAGAAGACAGTGACGAGAAGAGCGATTTAAAATGGGCAAATATTGATTTAGTCAACCAAACAATGATGAGACGAGTTGATGGTGGCCACCTCACACTTCTTCTCCTTCTTCTTTTCATCATCATCATCACCATCATCATTGTAGTCTTTTCTTTGGACGCATACATCGGCATAGCAGACAAACACACCAAGAACATCATTATTGGTAATAATAGCAAGTAGTTCAAGTGAGTTTTTTGTGTGTGCATATGTATGATTGATTTTTCGTTCGTCTATTACCAATATTGACAATCATCATATGATTCTTCCATAGTTTTTTTTTTTTTTTTTATTAATTTACTCAATAGACATTAGTTCCTCAAAATTTTATCAATCATATTCGAGTATTTGCTGTCTTCATTCAATTTTTAAGAATCATTTGCAATGTGTTCGATAATAGGAACCTTATGTTCATCTTCAATTCAATGAGTGTATCTCTTAGCAGTAAAAAAATAAAGAAAAAGAAGCCAACAAATAATCAAGCTATTGACATCGGGTTTATTGAAGAATATTCGATTAGATTTCAGAATATTTCCAATAGTTATATCTTAAGTTTCATATTGTAATAAATTATTTCCCATGCTTTTATTGAATTTCAATTCATTGCTTTTAATTTTCTCATTACGAAAACGGAGATCAATGTTTGCTCAGTTTTTTTTTTTGTTTTTTCGTATTTTTCCGTTTTAACCTTTTATATTTAATATGTTGACCATTTTCGCATGTATATTCTAATGAAAAAGAGTGTCACTTCGAAAAGTAAATATATATTTGAACAGACAGGTCATGAGACTGATCAACTGTCTAGTGTCTAACATACATATATCGATGAATATCAACCATATACATATATATATATATAGCTTGCCAACTTGTAACACATAAATTTTATTATTTTATATGATGAACATAGTGCCAGTAAAAAAAAAAAACTGTAAATATACCATCTGCATGTTTACTTAACCCGAAATGCAAAGAACAGAATTAAAACTACTACTACTACTATGTCGATAAAACAAAACACTATATTTTGTCTCTGTCTTTCTCTCTTTTTTCTCATAATCTTTAGAATAAAGTAAAAGAAATAAAAAAAGAAAAGAGACGATGTTATTCTTGTGTACATAGTTTTCAAAAAACATATTGCGGTGTGCACACACGAAATAAGAATATGTATATGTGTGAGAGAGAGAGAGAGAGAGAGAAAAAATGAGAATGAGAGAGAAAACGTTTGTTCAATATTTATTTACTGCAACTTCAATTAGTAAATATAGAAAGAGAAGCAAGTAAGCATAAGTGAGAATAAGAACAGAAGTAGAAGACGACAATTCTTGTTGTTCGACAAGCTGACATTACACATATATACATATATATATACATTTTATTACTAATTGTGTACGACCAAAATACAACAAAAAAAGATAGTTTTTGGTGAGTGTTAAAACAAAATAAAAAGTATCATCGGTGATTTTTTTTTTTTTTAATATTCTTTGAAAATTATTTCTTTTAATCATGTGTCATTTTTATCGTTTTCATAACGTTCATTGACAGAGTTCTGATGATCAAACGAAGTTTTTATTTTTTATTTTTTTTTTGTCTATCCTATATGTGAGATGCCGTTAACAGAAGAACATAGAAGACAATTGCACCTACTCTCGATAAAGCTCATATACACACATATATACTCAGTCAATTTTCTGTCTGATTAATATATATCCTTTTTGATGTCGACACTCATTTTCTCAAAGAATAAAATCATTTCTATCAATAATAACAAAAATATTCTAAGTCACATACACATACCTTTGTTGTATCATCCGAAAATTTCATTTGTAACAAGAAAAAAAAGAAAAATGATGATTTAAAGTCGCAAAGAAAACATTGATGATGATGTGTCGCTCTCATCATCTAATCAGTTAAAAACTTCAAAGAAAAATAACAAAAAAAGGAAAACTTGACTACGAATGAAAAGTAAATATAGAATCAGTTTGATATTCAGACAATGGGATAGAACAACATATTAGATGTCGGCATTATTCGTTCTTTGGATTTTATTTGCTCTGTTTTTTTGTTTTAAACTATAATCAATAGTGTCTCTTTTTTGTTTTTTTTTCTCCTTGACGGATTAACCGTTGATACTTTCTATCTCTAATTGTTCGTCCGACTATTGATTACAATGACGAGACATACTAGGTTTTTATTGATCAACTTATTTGTTGGGGATTTTTTGTTTTCAACCAATTGACCTTGTTCTTTACATTGGTGGTGGTCATCCGGAAATGGATCAATTGGCAAAAGGATGATAAAAAAAAGACAGAGAGAGAAAAAGGAAGAGAAAAAAAATATATATATATATTTACGGTCAGCCAATCGGCTCTTCATCACTTCAATTATACTCGTGCATTTCCCTTTTTCTTCTCTTCTTCTTGTCACCCACATTTTTCTTTTTTTTTTTTTTTTCTTCTTTTCTTCTTCCTTCTGCTGCGTCTCTTACAAACATTACATTGACACATTAAGTTCTGCGCACAACACATACACACATACACGACAAGAGTAGAGACTCTATAAATATATTAAAAAAAAAAAAAAAAAACAACGATTTCAAATAATGACATAAAGAAAAACCTGATGGATCCAATTACATCGTCTTATTCACTTATACCAACAAATGAACTTGATGGAAATAGCAATATTGCTGAACTTTGGCCATCAAATAATGGATCTTATATACAACAAATAGCTAACCATAATAATAATCCTAATAATAATATACAACAAATATCACCAAATAATCCAACATTAGTACCACCACCTAGTCTTGCTTATGCACGTCGTTATGCAGCATCAAAACCACCTTATTCTTGTAAGTATACAAAGTAAAAGAAAAACAACAAGTTTATTATTAATTTTATATTTTTTTTTTTTGTTTTTTAAAAAGATATTTCATTAATTACACATGCTATTAATGGTTCACCTGATGGTATGTGTACATTATCACAAATATATCAATATATACAAGATCGTTATGCATATTATCGACAAAATCAACAACGTTGGCAAAATTCTATTCGTCATTCATTATCATTTAATGATTGTTTTGTTAAAGTTCCACGTAGTACTGATCGTCCGGGTAAAGGTTCATTTTGGGCATTACATCCTGATAGTGGAAATATGTTTGAAAATGGTTGTTATTTACGACGACAAAAACGTTTTAAAATAAAAGATAAAATAAAAGATCCAAATAAATCTAAAATAACAAATAAAGATAAAATAATAAATTCAAATTTAAATAAATCCCATTCATCATCATCACCATCATTATCAGATAATACAATAGGACGAATGGATTCACCAGGTTCATCACCAAGACAAGCAACTGTATCTGAAACATTAGCTTTACCATTATCACAACAATACTATCATCATTATTCACAAGTTCCAACACAAACAACATATTCAACTGAATCAATACCTTTAATTAAAACTGAATATCATCATAATCCAACATCATCATCATCATCATCATCAGCTATTTATACACATCAAACATATGATCCAAATAATAATGGTTTACAATATTTAACTCCTGAACATAATCAACAATATTTTCATACAATTGATCAAACATCATCAACATTTTTACATCAATTAGCACCACCAGGTACATTTCGTATTGATAATCTTATTAATGGTCAACAAGACTTTAAATCATTCTATTCAACAATGGTTGGTCATGAAACAACAAGTAATTTTTTGGATACAACAAATACTAATTATTATTATAATAATACAAATTCTTCATCTTAAATTCTTTATCTTCTTGTTTCTTTTCGAGTTAACCTAGTCTATCTTTATAATACAAAACAAAACAAAAACAAAAAAAAAAAAACAAAAACACAATATTATGATCAAATTCTAAGCGGTGTTTTTTTGTTTCTTCATTTTTTTTTCTGTCTTCTCTATATACGTGTGTGTATGTGTGTGTGTGTGTATGTCAATATATATCTATATGTGCAATTTCTTATTCTCAGCAACAAAAGACATGATTGTCAAAATCTTGATTGATCTTTTTTTTTTTTTTTTTCTTCTTTCTTGGTTATCAATTTTCATCAGACAGGTAGCTCCAATAGAAGCACGTTCAGCAAACAATGAAGAATATGTACGTGTGAGAAGGATTAGTCTATATATGAATATGGACATATGGTTAGGCAAAAAAAAAAAAAACGAAGGAAATTTTGTCTATGCTATATGTGACATCCGCTTGTGAAAAAATATCTATCGTATCATGTAATCGATAGTTGCTTTTTTTTGTTGTTGTTGTTGTTGACTAACTATCTATTGATATCGGTTAGATTATTGACTCTTTACTTTCATTTTAATAGTGAAAATGAGCCGCTTTTCTGATAATAACAATGAATTGAATATATATTAGCTCTTTGCTTTTTTTTTTTTTTTTTTCTTTTTATTTGATGATGACAGAAGCCTTTTCTTCTATTCACTTACAGTTATATTAGAATGAAGAACTGCTTTTCTACTTCGTCTTTGAGCAAATATTTGTTCCCTCTTAAATACATCTATTCTCGACACACATACGCGCACATTACGAATGATGACAACCACAAAAAATTTGTGCTACTATTTGGTTCGGCTTGTGTCTTTTTCGTCTGTCTCTCCCTTTCCCTCTCTCTCTGATGTATGCTCGCTCAGTGAAGCTTTTTCTTCTCTTTACACATTGTGTGTGTCGACGAGCCGCTCTATTTATAACAAACAAAACTTTAGTAGTAGTGAGGCGTATGTACACAGAATCTCTCTCTTTTTTTCTCACTACTTGCTCGCATAGTTAGTAGTGCACACACATTCAACACTATGAGACGAGTTTAGTATATATGATGATTTGAAAAAAAATCTGAATTTTTCATGTTTGTCATAAACCATTTAAGAAAAAGGTAAGTTGAAAAGTTTGATAACATAGAAATTAAAATGCAAGCTTTGAATAACCGATGAGAGATTATCTTTTGATACACAAAAAAAAAAAAAAGACAATGTTCATTTTCATTTTTTTTATCTCAATATCAATCTTAACACCATGTCTACACATAATAGTCTCCTTCAACTGATAAGAATTTTTTTTAATTTTTTCTTTTCATTCGTCGGGAAAGTCCATATATGAAGAAAAAAAAGTGCATTTTTTTTTTTTGACGAATCATATAACGAGATTTTTTTCTTTTACATATTACAAAAACTGACTGTCTTAGCCTTTGCTTTTTTTTTTACCTTCTCTCTCTCGTCATTTACGTAGATAAGAAATCAAGCCCTTCTTCCTTCGTCTCTTTTTTTTTTCTATGCTGTTTTTTTTTTTGCTTGACTCAGGTTTTTCTTGACAATCCATTGTAACTTAACTGCACACCACAATGACGACATTTTTAGACGAAATAGCACGTACTCTCAATTTCTTGCTTGTATTCTTTCTTTCTTTTTCTCTGTCTTTTTTTTTTCTTTTTTTTCTCGTCTGTAATGGTTGAAAGTGTGCAAGAAGAGAGAACAACTGATTCGTCGGTCGGATGGCTGAATTGTAATAAAAGCGGGCGCATATATATGCGGCAAAATGTCTTTCTATGGAGGAAAAAAAAGAAGAAGAAGAAGAAGAGAGCTTTTGATCGTGCTACGACGACAAACCCCGAAAGAAGAAAAAAAAAAGAACACGATAGAGAGAAAAAGAGAAAAAAAAGGAGAGAATAGAAAGCAGACTTTTTGAGGGATTCATTTCCGTTTTTCTCTCTTTGCTCGTCGGGGATTCGTCGTATTGGTTGTTGTTGCCGTTATCGTTCACGTCGAAAGATTTGTTTGTATTCGAATTGTCGTTGTCTACATTACACGCGAACAATCAAACCATCCTTTAATTTTTAAATAATGATCAAATAGTGGTCGAGACGACGGCCACCCATCAAGCCAAATACTTATTGACTTAGTGTGTTCTCTTTTTTTTTTCACGTACATCGAGCAAAGAAAGGAAAAATAAAAATCAAACAAAAGAAAAACGAAGAAGAAGAAGAAGAGAAGAGCAAGAATGAAAATGCACAATCTTCAGACTAGTATTGGTGATGAATCAACATCATCATCATCATCAAATAATACTACAGCTGATTATAAACCAGCACTAAATGAACTGTTACGAATTCAACAACAACAACAACAACAACAACATGCTGTCGTTGAATCACAACAATTAAATTATGTAACTCTTGTACCTGTCCAATCCCTTGCACCAACAAAAGTTGAATTAGAAACACCAACAATGCATTATTATGATAATGCACAACCATTGCCATCATCAAATTATATGTTAACACAATCACCTTATGACTTAAATCATGCTATTGAAACTGCCAATGTTGATCTAGTGTCATCTGGAGCACGTCAGCCACCAACTACAATACCAACAGCATCGGGTAATCGTCGTGGTAATGCACCATCTAAGCCACCCTATTCCTATATAAGTCTTATTACAATGGCTATACAACATGCACCAACAGGCATGGTAACATTAAATGATATCTATCAATTTATTATGAATGTATTTCCATATTATCGACAAAATCAACAACGTTGGCAAAATTCTATTCGTCATTCATTATCATTTAATGATTGTTTTGTTAAAGTTCCACGTGGACCTGATCGACCAGGTAAAGGTTCATATTGGACATTACATCCTGATGCCGGTAATATGTTTGAAAATGGTTGTTATTTACGACGACAAAAACGTTTTAAATGTACAAAACAAGCATCTAAAACTCGATCACGTACATCCAATAATGGACAACAACAACAGTCAACATCGAGTATTATATTAACAAATACGAATAAGACTGATCCATCGGCATCAAATACTGATGAATCGGATGATGATAATGAATCTATTGAAAGTGGCAATGCTAGAGATGATGAACATCATCAACCAATGACTATGGATGGCCAAGTTCATATGCCATTAACACGAACATCATCAACAACTCCTACACATATATCTCTTAATCATTCAACTGTAACTATTAATCATTTTACTGCACCTATACCAAAACTTTTATCGACAAATGAAGATACCTATCGTCAACAAAATAGTGAGTTTTAAAAATTAAAAAAAGAAAAGGAAAACTTAATCTTTCTAATCTGTTCTTCTTTTTTAAAGGCAATGGTGTTATGATTTCTCCTTCATCAAAACAACATGAAACATGTCAATCAGTTCCTCGTTCTCCTCAAACTCAACAACATCATCCTCATCATCTTCTTCTTCATCATCATCATGCTCATCAACTTTATTCAACTGAACAACAACAACAACAACAATTTCCTTCTATTCCACATACACCTGTTTATGTTGATTTACAACCATTTCCAACTAGTACAACACCAACTGATATTGTCTATTCTGATAATGGTCCAACGTCAACAACAACAACAAATTATTTTACAACTGAATCATCACCATCATCATCAACCAATTCAATTCATCCGCATTCATCATCTGCTTATTATTTTACACAATTTCCTCCAACATCTTCATCATCAGTTATAACGAACAACAATGTCATTGACTATCAACAGCCGGTTCGGCTTTAGATATATGAAAAGACAGCAACAAGAAAAAAATATATATATGCGTATATAGAAAACCAAATCGACTAAGCAATACTGTGATGATGATGAAAAAACGAGAATGAATGATAATCATTAAATATGTGTTAATGTGTGTGTGTGTGGTTGCTTGTGCGCGCGTGTGTGTGTCTATGTCTTCGTTCTAATTTATTCAGCTATGTCTTACAATGTGTACAGTGGATTCTTTATACTCTACCTCATCATTGTTCTTTATTGCATCATTCATTCATATTCTTATTTGAGTACGATACCAGTATGCACCTTGTGAAGACATATTGTAGTAGGCTCAAGTAATAACGAGACAGGGGGCTTTTTTCAATTGATTGATACTCAATTGATGCCGGTGGTGTTCCTCTTTCTAACCTCCTCCTTCTCCTCCCCATGTTTTTTTTTCTAGTATACGAAACGAAAATGTTCTAGTGAAATTGACATGAACCTTACGGGGCTCTCCTTTCCTATTCAATTCATTCATTCATTGATTCATTCATTCCGCTACATATGCACAGAACGGGATAGAAGGAGAGAGAGAGAGAGGGGGGACAGCCTAAAGCAAAAGAAATAGTGATTGAAATTTTCTTTTTCGTGCAGTCTTCGCCGCCATCATTGTTACTGCTTGATACGATGAGTTTATAGAAGAAAAAAGAAGAAAGTAAAGCTTATATACCGTCTGTTTTACAGCTAGTCTAATTGCTGATCGGGTTGACCTACTAGTTGCAAAGAGGGCAAGTGTCACTCATACCATATAAAGAATGAACAATCAAGACATTTATGTTCTGTTCTTGTTAAGTTCAATTTATATCATAATCTCATCTATATTCAAATTTCTTATTTTGGGTGTGTTTTGTTTGTCAAGTAAGAAAAAAGAGGAACATGAATGACGAAAAAAAAAAACGAAACCATGAGACATAATCATACATATAGGCATGTATATATATATATATATGTATATGGTATTACTGCTCGATAGTAAGCATAAAGTATCGATAGTGTATGAAGCATAATTACTATATAACTTCCCGATAACTTTCATTTTTAGGTTTCTTTATGAAAAACATACATTTTATTTACGATTCAAAGATCTGTTATTATGACTGTAATATATAGTTCGTATTAAAATATGATTGGATAGAAAATGTCGGCATGTAAACGAACGAGAATAAAAGAAATAGAATATTTTTCCATTAGTCGACAATTCGACTTGTTGTTCTACTCCTTTTTTTTTTTTTTTGCTTTTTTCTTTATGTGAAAGTATGTGTAATGCTTGCACGCACTTATAATTGCCTCGTTCTTTCGCTTTCCACTTGATAGTAAAATGTGCTATAGTGCATGTGCATGATTTTTGATAAGAAACGTAAGCATCTCTTTCGTTCTCTCTTTCTTGCTTCGAGATAAGGCTTCGTTCTTTCTCTCATGCACAGTGCTCTTGAGAGGAGAGAACAGTTGTTGGGGTGGTGATGATGATGCTTGTAAGAGCAACCATATCGGTTGAAGCATAATAAAAACAACCTTGTCGACGTTTGTGTCGTGCTTGTCTATGCTTTACGAGAAATATACTAAATGTAGTGAAAAAGTAAAGTGGACTGATTCAAGTGTGCGTATGGCATGTGCATTGCTATATCACATAAATCGCACCATTTTACTTTTTTTTTTGTCCCTCTCTCTCTCTCTCTCTCTCTCTTATCTTCCTATTAAAAAACAACGTCAATGGACTAGCATATGACAGCTTTGAGTATTCATTCTCTATCCTTTTAGAATTCGATAGGATTACTTGCTCATTTGGCATCTCGGATTTCGCCGCTGTTATCATTGCTTTACGAATGTCATCGGATAGGCAAAGCGTGCGACATATACATATACTCTAATGTCGATTGTTTGCGTAACGATTTAACAGGATTAATTTATCGCAAGCTTTCATCAACGGTTACTCATAGGAATAAAAATGAACAGAAAAAAGAAAATTTTTTTTGAAATCAGTCAAAAAGAAGCAAAGAAAAAGAATCGTTATTTCTATTTCGTTGAAGTTTTTAATTTTATTCAAATAATGATCTTTCAATTGATAAATTTTGTAGAATATTAATATCATTAAAGAATTGAAAAATTTATGAATAATCGTTATTATTACATTATCTAAAAATAATCAAAGGATTTTGACTTTACATGGTTGTAGAAACCTGTTTTATATTCCATATGAAAAATGCAAATTCAATCTTAAAAGATGCATATTATGCTAAGAGACCTTTATCGACTGGATGCCTCTAAATGTATTTCATTATGATATATAAAGTGCATAGAAAGAAATATATCATACTTTGAATCGAACAAAATAGATAACAGTGAACACAAGGTTAAAGTTTACTAGATTTGTTTCAACAAGAAACTTTTTTTTTTTCATACTATTCTAAAACTTTTCACCCATAAACAGTGTATTGTATGCAATGAAGCATATAAGGTATATTCAAGATTGAATAAATAGAAGGTGCGACTATGAAAATTTCAAAAAGTTTCGTCATCTTCATATGTTATCTTGAAACACTAACACTCGACATTTTGACTTTTGTTCTTTCTCATAAATACAAATTTTTTATTATGACAGATTTATTTTTACAATTTATGTCCATGTTCATGAATCATTTCTGACGAAAATTTGTTTGCATTTTCAACAAAAGCTCTTATGAAAAAATATTTTATCAAAGTAAGATTTGAAGTTTTGAATACAAAATTATAAAAATAAATTTCTTCGTCACTCTTTACATATTATTGAAAAGCTAAATCAATTACATAAAAAACAATATATGAATAAGATAAACTCAACATCATGAAAAATCTTTTAATTCTAAGCTGCTATCAATTGATTAAAAGCATGGATGAACTTACAGTGAAGTGTAATGCTTTTGTTATATCTGTTAAATTATATTGAAATAAATCTGAATCAAGTATATTTGATGCATTAACTAAGAGCTGGCAAGTTGATATCAGAGAGTGCAGAGTGAAAATGATCTATTTGAGACATAAGAAAAAAAAAGCCATATCTGAGACATGCGTTAATTATAACATACTATTTTTACATTGTTCATTATTTTGTTATTACCTATTCAATGTTAATGAATCAGAAGCAGCTGTATTTTGTAAACAGAATTTTTCAATAACTACTGTACATATAATACTGAACGAGACATTGAATGGCCTGCTGAATAACGAAGCTGAAGACTTTTAATTACATTGAAGAAATGAACCGAAAAAAAGAATGATTTCGATAAAATTGATGTAATATATTCCATTTGAAGTGATAGTCATAGAATGATTGCAAATGTAAGTATTATAGTCGAACTTCTAAATATAGGCCGAGTTATATTTGATGGTTCTTAGATAAGAATATATATATATATAATGATAAAAAGAAGAAAATTAAGCTTTTTGTGCTTGATAAATATTGCTCAGATAACTTCTAACACAATTAAGAGTTTAAGATATCTGGAAAAATAACCAAGCTGATATTACTCTGAATCACAAGAAACGTTATATGTCTATCGTTGTTAAATAAAAGTTACTACCAAATAGCATCTGGATCAACTGTACACTTTGCTTGATATGGATTTACATTTAGATTGGCACAATAATTGAAATCCCTAATAAGTTTCAATAATAGTTTCTATCATGAATAAAATTAAACTTACTTGACTGATGATAGCATGTTGAACATATTTTCAAGCATAATAATATATCAAGTTCAATTGAGTAAAGTGATTCTCTGATAAAACGCAATTTTTTCTTTGGTATTTATGTTAGTAGTCTCAATTACATCGAAATGATTAGTTTTATTGATTTTTGAATAATATAGTATGGTTTTGACTAGCATAGAATCGGACAATGTAAAAGTGAAAAATAGGTACAAAATTCATGAATTTAACGAAGGATAGTTTCATCAGAAATATCCATTGAATTATTCAATAACTCCAGTTTTGATTTCAATATGAGAAGTTCTTTAGGACCAGTTTTTTTTAACAGGGAGCTATGTATATCGGAAACCGTTTTCATTCTCAGAATAAGATGGATTATCCACCTTCTTGCAATATATACGTACATGCATAGTACTTTTACTCTTTTTTCTTCAACTAGCATATATTCAAAACAATGCATAATTGAAATTTCACCAAGATTCATTTCAATTAAATTCAATCCAATTCGATAAATTATTAAATTTTCACCATGGGAAACGTTAAAAAAAAGCAGAATTCACAGTAATAATCAGTCGTACTGTACTATTCAGTGGTATTTTCACCTATGCCTGCGCACTGCGCGGTATGAAATCAGTAAAAGCAGATAGAACTGGTATTCTTTTAATATCTGTCATTTGTTGAATTATTTATTTAGCAAGTTTTAATTGTGATTCATGCCATCTTTTACGACTATGGACTAGCATGCTTTTGAAGATTACAAACTAAAAACGCTAGATCTGTGGAATAATAATCTAATTCCAATTGTGTAAAACGCATTCGTAGAAAGATCCTACAATGGCATCAAATAGAAATTATTCGTCTATTCATTGATTGTTTAAAAAACTATGCCTGATGATGTTGAAATGAGCATCGATTTAGATGAAAAACTATTAAAAAGTTGAAAAACATCTTTGTTATAGAATGCTAGATTAGCATTGTTCGAAACATTTAAGAATTGAGTAATTGAAGCACTATCAAGTACACAAAAGATTAAATTCATGATTGCTTGTGACCATCAAATGGTATTGTCAATCGAATAAATTTCTTTGAAAAAAATTCTAAAAGTAGATCAATTTCTATTGAAAACTAATAAATTTGTCAGTTGAGGAGGGTAAAACTGGTCAAAAACTATCGACGGTTAAGTTTGTTATTTTCAAATAAAACAATCTCACAAATTTTATTTCTATGATTTACTTAGTAATTGACAGATGGTATATTATTGAATATGTATTGTACACTATTCTAACAAGCAAACTTAAAAAGACCATGTTATAAATTTTTTAAAATTTTTGCAGAAAGAAAAAACAAAATTCTTCATATTCGTTTCGATATCTTCTTCTAGATTATGGACAGATTGTGTAATATGAATTGAACAATATCACATCAAAAGATAGATTGTATCATCATTTAAAGAGTTAAGAATGAATTTATTTATAAATTGTCTTCGCAGAAAATTTTAAAATAGAACAGAAAAATTAAAAAATATTTCACCAAAACCAAAATACTTCATTGTACATAAGTATAGATGCTAGTAGTATCTCAATCACAGTAGAAGTTATATCATATTGTACATTCAAAAATTAATAATAACAATTTGTTCTGAATAACATTCAATAATTAATAGGGAACCGAAAATGAAAAAATAATACCAATACAGATTCATAAAAGAAAAAGATTGAAATTTAAATGAAGTTAGAAATAATTATTGTATTTTTTTGTTATAATTGAAATAATGCTTAAAAGGAAATTGTTGTTTTGGAATGCTTAATGGCACATCAATATTGTTCAATGTCGATCGATATTTATTGTATAATTCACGAACAATCATAATTGAATCACCTAAAAATGTATAAAGATTGATTTACAAAAAAAAAGAAATCGTATAAGAAAACTAACCTTGTGTAGTTGTTGGATAATGCTTTGTATCTAACATAATAAATGGTAATTCAGCTTCGAGAAATAAACGTTCCTCCAAAACACCACTATCAACAGGTTGACCCTGAACATGCATTATTTTATTCAAAAGATAAATAAATAAAAAAATATATATCATACTTCTACAAGACTTTTAAGTAACATGTCAAAGAAGACATGCCATCGAGGAGCATAATAGCTATAAAGAAATAAAACTATTAAGTAAATAAAAATAAATAATAAGCAGTACGAATTCATGTAGTTATTATTCTAAACAACTTAATTGACACATATTTTATAAGTAAAGACTTTTAACTAATAAAATTTTGAAGAATATTTTTTAATTAACACGTTTTTACATAATAAAAAAAGATTCCTTAAGTTATGGACCTCATCAAAAATGACTTTATATGTCATTAAAAAGTGATCCCTACTTAACTATATTTCTATGAGTTTTGAGTATTTAGGATGGTGTTTTAAATGGTACATCAGTCGATCACATTATCACTTTTAATATTAGTAATATAAACAAAAGAAAAATAATAATTAAAATCCCGAAATCAATCAGTATTCTTGTTTAGGAAGTTCTAATGAACTATGAATACTTTGTAGGTAACGTAAGATAATTATTAAAAGCAATACATGGTATCGAAGGTGTGGGTTTGACTATTCTCTGTATCCACATTCCTAATTATCACATTTCTGTGGTTCATATCACTAATATTAAAGGAGATAACGTCATTGGATAATATGTCATATAAAACATCGTCCTCAATACTCGAAGCTCGTATAGATATGGTTGAATATGGATCACTCTTTATATATTACTCTTTCTGAAATCAGAAAATGAAATACTAATGGATGAATTCGAGAATGTAGATTCGATACATAAAAATATTGATTTTTATCTTAGCAAGTAAAAAGAATAATTTCTATACATACTCTTGAATCATTCCAGACCAAAATTTACTTGCATAATCATATAATTCTAATGTATAATTATTTCCCCAAATAGATATTTGAAGTTTAGCATTAAAATTATAAAAATGAATTTCTTCTTCACTCTTTGCAAATTTTAATGCATCACCGATCCAATTACCTAATAGAAAACGACGATCTGACGCTAATACCATTTCCATATCAGCCAAAATATCAACAAGAATAGCTGCTTGATTACTTAAAAAGAGTTAATATATTCGAAATAAACCACAACATATTATTATTAATTACAGACCCAACTCCGTAGAGATCTTTTTGATTGAAAGCAGCTATCAATTGACTATAATCAATAGCAAATTTATATTGTAGAACTTCTTTAGTAATATCTACTAAATCATATCGAAATAAATCCGAATCAAGTTCAGCTGACGCATCCACTAACAGTTCCCAAGCAAAAAATAGAGATTTGAGATCGAAATTGATCTAATATGCAAACTGGTATAAATTCTTTTCTCATACATAATGCAAAGCAACTTACAGCTTGATCTTCACTAACTCCTGGTCTGTGTAACATTAATGAATAACCACCACTCTGAGTTTTCTGATAAACTGAATTTCCTAATATTTGCCAAGCGTACAGTGCAGAAGTAGGCATTGCATCATTACTTGCATATCGACGTAAGACAAAATCGACTAACCTAAATAATCAAATTTACATTTGAAAAATGACCTGCGCTTAAATAGAGTCACCATTGATTTAATTCACTCGCTTTCAATGGAGTGCGCCATGATTGTTCCAGTGCAAATTCATACATAATTTCGTTTTGATTTATACCTTCCATTGTGATACCAACACCAATCATATATTGACCTGAATAGTTACGAGCAGCTTGTGGTCCCTAAAATTAACATTCAGTTTCTTTCACAGTCATATAGAGCTATAGTTACATTGGTAACATCAACAAGAGAACCGAACAAATCATTATTACCACCAAAATCATGTAACATATTCCATATATAAAAATGTCCATAGAATGATTGAAAACGTGCATATTGTGGTATCGCTTCAGAGTAGAGGTCTAATAAAATGAGATTTCCCTTTTATGAGAAAATATACTTTATACAATAATACATCTAAGGTGATTAAGCTTTTCGTACTTGAGGAACTTTGCTCAGATAACTTTTCACACGATCAGGCGTCCAAAAATCTTCAAGAAATAACCAAGCTAACATCACCCTAAATCAGAAATGAAAAAGTATATTCTTTTCATGCTAGTAAACATCTACCAAACAGCATCAGGATCAACCGTTTGCATAGTTTGAAAAATGCGTGCATTGATATCAGCCAAATAATTGAGATCACTATGTAAGATGTTTAAATAAATAATAAACTTACAAAAATTAAAAATACCCAATCGGTGGTGGCATCTCATTGAATAGATCACAAGCAAAATAATGTGAATCTATGTTGAGAGAAACAATTGTCTAAAATTAAAAAAGAAATTTAGCTTTCTCTCATATCTAATTCATAAATTACAATGTACGTTACAACAAAAGTGTATCATAGTGTTTAACATCAAATGCTATAAATCTCAAAATGAGAAGTCTCAGGAATAGTATATACAATTTTTTTTAATCAATTTAATATACAATCAAAATTTTAAATGCAAATTTGCAAAAGACCAAGACTAGTAGTATTAGTGACTTTGTCATTAAATTTTTCAAAAAAACAAAAAATCGAATATCTACAAAGCAACATACTTCATTAAGTAGGGCAACACCAACTGTTTGAAAAAATGGATCAGTTGGATCAAGATATGGCAAACTAAGATGAAACAGAAATATTTTTCTTTTCGTTAACATACATCGTATGACTTCAAACTTACCAAGATTCATTACAACCGAAGCCAACCCAATTCGCCGAATAATGAAATTTCGCTGTAGGAAAATGTCTAAAAAAAATATCATAATGCATTATTCTTCTAATAACGTAAATACGAAAAAAAAAACTATCATTATGGATTCAACGTTAATTGACAAAATATTTCTCATCAGTATATGTGACTTGAACAGAATCTTACACGACTACGAAGACTAATGACATAGCTTTACAAAAAAGTATAGCTATCGATCAATAAAAGTTAAATATTAAAGCTATCATTAACAGCAACTCACTTAGGTGCAGTACGAGGCATGAAACCAGTGAAAGCAGGTAGAACTGGAATGATTCCAATATCAGTCATTCTTTGAATTATTTGTTTAGCAAGTTCAAATTGTGATTCATGCCATTTTCTTGACAATGGACCAGCATGCTTTTGAAGATTACCCATACGATGCCTTTTATTGACATTCAAAAATCGCTCTCTACTAAATTATAAAAAGAAATAAATCTCTCTATCTCTTACCAAGCTAAAAAAGCTGGTCCCGTGAAATAATCATCTAATTCCGATTGAGTAAAACCCATTCGTAGAAAGACCTAAAAACGTATCAAATAGAAAATATTCATCCATTGATTGATCTTTGTTCTTTAAAAAGAAAACACTGACTTTACTAAAAATATATTCCATTCCAGTTGTTGCATATGCTATATTGATACCATTCATAGCCATCCAATCTATCTCTTTTTCCCATCTGCATATTCAAAAACATAAGAAATTAATACAAAACTCATAGAAACGAAAATTTACCTGGAAAAATTCCAAAATACAGCTGAATAACTGAATGTACATGGATTACCATACCAACGAAAAACATCATTGACCACAATTTGAATCTGTGTAGATAATGGAATTAATGATGATTGAGGTAGTTGGATATTTTTGCCTGACCAATAAACTATACAAAATATAAAGAAATAAATCGATAAAATAAAGATAAAAATTTAATCATACATGAATTCTGTGCAACATATTTGAGATAGTAATTGAATCCCATTGCAGCAGCTACACCTGATGATGCTGATATCAGTATTGATCCAGGTGTAAAACCATTGGAAAGTTGAAAAACATCTTTGTCATTAACTGTTAAGTTAGCACTGATCAAAACTTGAAACAATTGAGCAACTGGAGCATCATCAAGTACACGAGAGATCAAATCTGTGATTGCTTTTGTTGTAGTTGAAGAAACTGCAGGTTTCGACCATCGAATAGTTTTGCTAATTACATACGATTCTTTGAAAAAAAAAGATTAAATAATATGTCACGAATTTCCTTGTTTGAATCATAGAAATTTTTATTTCACCGAATCTTAGTACGCATTAAGTTAATATTCTTTGAATTTTTCAACAATGAAATAAAGCAATAATCTACTTTAGTTATAAATTTTCATTTTGCCTTTCTGAGAGAAAACTTTTCCTCATTATATGTTTACTGTTTAGATATTTGATTCCAAGCTAAACATTGTTTTATAAGTTTTGATCCCATTTTTTTTTGTATCTTGGCTGTATTGAAAGATGGATAGATATTGAATATATATACTTGTAATTTAGCACACCAGCTATTATCCAAGAGAGATTGGACTCATTTTGCATTAATTCAAAAGAAATATTATATTGACGAAAAATATAGATAGAGTTTCATCCAAGTCATTGTTTCAACGTGACCAAATGTTAAGGAATTCTATTATTCAAATACATATATTTAATACCTATCCACCTTCAAATGCAAACTAAGATAGAAAAGATGAGATTGAAACCTATGAAATATTTTTTATTCTTTTTTTCTGACTGTTTAAAATTTTTTGTGTTTACTTACGAGGGAACCGCCCGAGATGATTCACTGCTTTAAAGCTCATACTTTGGGCATAAGTAGGGAACCCCGACACTAGAATAACCCTAAGAGGATTTGGGCCCATGCACCTGTGCGGCTGAGTTATAACCGTTTTACTCGATTTTTGCCCTAGGGCACTGGTTCACCTGCAAAACCAAATCAACGAATTTCGACCTGAAATTTTGTCCACGAAGAGGCCTAATGGCCACTAGAATACCCTGAAAGTTTCGGACAAAACAAATGTATCCTTCTTAAGATATTGAATTTTCAAAAACCGACTATTTCTCGAAAAGAATTAGCAGACCCGCAATTTATTGTGAAGTCAATATCTTAAGAAGGATACATTCGTTTTGTCCGAAACTTTCAGGGTATTCTAGTGGCCATTAGGCCTCTTCGTGGACAAAATTTCAGGTCGAAATTCGTTGATTTGGTTTGCAGGTGAACCAGTGCCCTAGGGCAAAAATCGAGTAAAACGGTTATAACTCAGCCCCACAGGTGCATGGGCCCAAATCCTCTTAGGGTTATTCTAGTGTCAGGGTCCCCTAATTATGCCCAAAGTATGAGCTTTAAAGCGGTGAATCATCTCGGGCGGTTCCCTCGTTAGATATTATCTAATCACATCTAACTTCATCCGTGCTTGTAAACTTCAAAATTTGCCTGTAAACAAGTCAACGAAATTAATGTCATGAAAATTAAATTTAAAGAACTATCAGCATAAATCAAATGCATATTTTTATAAGGTACGAAATAAAAACATTACAAATGTACCAAAATAATCCTGACCTAAGTCAAAAGATCACAAATTGAGATTATTTAAATTTTCACGATTTTCCTTTTTTGTATTTTTTAATTCCAACAGACAATAATGAAAACATGATGGTTACAGGATTAAAATCCAATGCAAGTTTAAAGTATATTAAATGTAGAAACTAAAGAGCAAATGTGTTTTTTTTTTTTTAGAATTTCAACTTAGGAGACGATAAATTTTCCGTAATAATTGTAACATGATTCAAATTTCTTTTCAGGAAAAAGTCTTCTTTAAATGTATTTGACTTACGATGTAATAAAAGTAGGACGACCACATATTGTAATATAGAACGCAACATTATTATCTAGAGAGCACAGGTTTAGTTTATTCTTGGGTTCCTTCTTTGTTTCTGCGAAGATATGGAATAAAGATAAAAAGAAGTAAAGATCAACAAATAACAGAACAAAGGCGAAAAAAAAAAAGTCAACAGTTTGATAACTTATGTTCTAGATTAGGAAACAAAATGAAATGTTTATTTGTTATTGTTGTTTGTTTTTGCGTTTATTAAGTTCGTACGGCATGAACAGTTTCTTCTTTGTTAATTAAATGACATGTTTTATTAATAATTGTCATCAAAGAATTAAGATTAACCGACCATTCATTAAGAATTTCTTGTGGAGATTTCTTTTGTTGAAATGTAACGATATCTTGAAGACGATCAATCTTAGCATTAATAGTTTTATTTGAAACAAGATTTGATAAGAATTGTTCGGCTTCATCTTTAGTTAAATCAAGTAATTCAGCCATTTTTTGTGTATGAACACGTGTATAATATTTAGCCATAATGCGCATATTCTATTCAATAGAAAAAACAAATAATAAAGTTTTTCAAAAAAATTCATTTTAATTTTTACATGTTCAACAACACGAATTTTAAAATCTTCCCAACGTTTATTTCCATCATCATTTTTAGCAAAAACATTTGTTGCTAAATCATCTTTTGTACCATTTTTAAGATCATTTTCAAAATTTTTTAATACATCTTTCCAATGAATAAGTTCTTGAGTTTTAAAACGTTGTAATAAATCTCTATTTATTTTGATAGTAATAGAAAATTTAAGAAAAAAAAGTATTTCTTTACTTGTATTTAGGAATTTCTTCAAGATTTTTATCAAGAAATAAACGATGTAAAAAATCTGATTGTTCATTGTTATATGGTGATAAAGTTAAATAGAGTACAACATGTTTTAATGCTTGTTTCATTTTTTCTGGATCTTGTTTTATACGTGGTGTTTCATAATAATGTTTATAATGTTGACAAACATCAAAATAATTTTTATCATGTAAATCCATTTGAATCATTAATTCATAATATTTTAATTTTAAATCCTTTATAAAAAAAAAAAAACAAGAAAGATAATTTTTAGTTGAAATGAATATACGAGCTAAGCAAATATTTGAAAAAGTCATTTGAAATTACTTCAAAAAATTGACATAAAAACGTTGAAATTAGAACAACTGAAATCCTCTTTGTTTAAATATAAGATTATGCTAAATTCAAGAATTTCATTAAATACTCTATCAATTTCTTTTAGCATATCTTTTTCATGATATAGTGTTAACTTTATGAAATACAAAGTTTGAAATTTGTCTGCGACATTTTTTATTATTCGACCTATGATAGAAAATTTCACAGTCAAATAAAAAGTTGTATTTGTGCTGCTCAGTTTTGCTTGAGAATATGTACAGCGACGCCCAAAATTATTCATCGAGGTTTATTTTCAATTCTTTTCCATAGCAGTAACCGCTAACTAAGCATTCAGATAGTGATTTGTGTAGAGAATTTTATTTTCGAAGATGAAAATAATTACTAGTTTTTCTAAGATATGGTCTCTGAAAAATCAAAGTATTCAAGTCATAGAATTTGCAAATAAAATTCTGGTCAAATTTCAGACTAATCAAGCAAACAATTGTTTACAAAAATGCAATGTCTTCCGACGTCCTATAATATTTTCATGATCAAGATAGATCAACTTTTTTTTCTGTAATTTCGTATGTAAGCATCATTATTGTGCCTTCCGTAATATTGATGTATCTTGGACAAAAAAAAGAAACGGCATAGAGATCTTGAAAATGTCTCATTTTGTATGGAAATGTTTCTTTGATTATTCTATGCAAACAAACAGGGTTCTGATTTGCAAAATCTAACAGACGAAAAACTTGGTTTTAGGCTCTTTAAGAATCTATCCTTAGAACACTAATAATTATTTTCATCTTCAAAAATAAAATTCTCTACATAGATCCGTATGTGGATTCTTATTAGCAAATACAGCTAGTGGAAAAAATTGGAAACTAAACCGAAGTGAATCATTCTTGGAAATTATTGTATTTTCTTAAAATACGAATAATTCTAACTATTTTTATAGCAGTGAATTGTTAAAATCAATGAAGTCAAAGGCATTTTTTTTTTATCGATTAAAAATTATTTTTCATTTTTAATAATAAATAAATCGAATAAATTGATTAACTGATTTAAATTTAGTTGAAAACTTACATGTGAACTTTCGTCTTCGAATGCTTTAATATTAATTTTTTTCGATATAATTTGTGTTCGAATGTAATCATTTTTAGCTAAACAAAGACGCATTTGTTCAAGTAAAAATTCAAGTTTTTCACGACGATCCATAGTTCCATAAGTTTCAACCTAAATAATAAATAATTAAAAAGTCAAAAATAAATGTTCTATTTAAAAAAAAAATGAAGTAAACAAAATTACTTGAAGTTCTTGTAAAATTTCTGCTGCTTCCTTTGTATTACCTTGTCCTTCATAAATATCAGCCAATTTTTTTGTTAAACGTGCACGTTCATTTTCAACAAAGATCTAAACAAAAAAAAAAATACAAGATGAAATTTCGAATTTGTTGTCTTATAAAAACATTTTTGTTTCTTACTTTGCCCGTAGTAACATTTCGAAGTGTTTCAATTAATTTAAGTTTTGTATCTAAATCTGGTGTTTTTTCCACTAGTTCATATGCTTCTTGAACCATTTTTGTAATGGCTTGTTTCAATTGACTTCGACGTTTTGATAATGTTGTAATATGTTCATTCATTTGTTCCCATTGTCTTGCTGCATAACAATATTTAATAATAGCTACAAGAACACGACCAGTGGAAATAGCATCAGCAGCCTAAAAAAAAAAAATCTTATATAATAACAAAAAAAAAACAACACGAGCAAAGAAATTTTCATGGAATTTCATACAGTTCGAGTTTGCTTTTCAAGTGGTAATAGACGATCGAGAACTTCGTTCAATTTTGTTTCATCCTAAATAAAATTTCATAATTATGAAAAAAACAATTTTCATAACTCTTTTTACTTTCATTATTTCATCACATTCTTTAAGTTTTTGATCAACAACAGATGAATAATCGATTTCCATTTTAACAAGTCTATCACTGTCACCCATGATTAATTTTATTAATACCTGTTAATCTACAAAAGAAGAATGTTGATTGTTAACAAAACCACAATGAAATGATTTTTTGAATCAGTGAGTTCATTTATGAAGTGTGAAAAAAGCAAGTATTCGATTGGAGAACATGTTTACCAGTGTAATATGAAGAAACTAAATAATAATAAAAAGACTCATCTGGAAGGAAAATGTACAGCAGATATGGCTATCCTAGCAACGAAAACAATGAAAAAAAAATTAACATATTGGTTGAATTATGTTTTTTGAAAATTGTATATTTTTAAAGTTAAAAATGTTAGAAATTGAATTTTTTTTGCTATGCATTGGTCTATTATTTTTTGTCAGTGGATTTAGAAACAAGAAAATTCAACTAAAGATAAATATCTTTATTGACAAGATTGTTTGATAATAGACACAGATGTAGTGACATTAGTAAATAATCTGCTATTGGTTTCAGCAAAGTAATGCAATGAGAACATTTGTTTTATTTTGTCTATAGCCGAAAATTATAATTATTTTAAATCAAAGTTATTTGACCAAAGTAAAATATATAATTACTTAATTTCAGCGATAATAATTTTATTTAATTAAAAAAAAAAATATATTTTCAATATAGCAGTATCGTTTAATGAAGTAGGGTTGATGTTTGTCTAGGAGTTTTCGTAGTTCTACCTAAGCAGGTTTAGAATGTTATTCAATTGTTACCAAGAGTAAAGCTGTGAGATATATGATTTCGTCATATACTAACAAAAGCTTCTAATTTTTCTTGCGATACATAATAAGCAAGGATTGCGAACGATAGAGGTTATCAAGTTCTATCGGCAATAAACATTTTAGAACAGCGTGTTTTTGTTACATATCACATGTGTTGAGGAGACATCTAAGCTTCGAAAGATACAAAAAAAATTAGCGAAAGGAACAATAAGAAATTATTATTTAAATGATTATTTTTATATATTCATCCAATAAATTTAATCATGGAAAAAATAATAATAAAATTCATTTTGGTAATTTTATTCATTTGAAATGATTTCCGAAAAACATAGCGTTATTTTCATTTTTTCTATATCATTTTCATGCAAATGATAGTGAAAGTTATAGTGCAATTGACTTGATGAATATGTTTCAAGTATTTAAGTGGATACTATTCCGAATCTGATTTTCTTTTTGTTCCACAAAACAAAGATAGCTATTAACTTTAAAATATTTCGGGATGTAAGTAGTATTGCAAGAAAATCTTTTGAAAGCTGAAAAGGTGCAGATACTAGTTTTTAGAAGTAGAATGAAATGCTGAACCCTTTTCCACATTTTACGATCTTGTTTTTAATGAAAAATATGATTTGGCCTGCGAAAAACTGCCCTAGGCGAAATTTTTTTTCATGCTCTTGACCTGCGCAGACCTCAAGATTTGTCCATAGCGCATGACTTTCTTGCTCAAGACAAGCGCTTCAGTGTTGCATGAAAATACACCTATGAATTTTTATTAAAAGTTGAGTTATTTTGAACGTAAAATTGCAAAAAAATCTGTAAACAATTTTTTAATAACAGAAACGCTTGCATAAGAATTCAAGCGTGTGTGCAAGAATATCAAGCGATAGAACAAGAAATTCAAGAGCTTGAGCTCGTCGAAAGGTCTCAAGTCTTGCCTCAAGATTTGTCCATAGCGCATGAGTTTCTTGATCAAAATTCTCAAGTATCTCCTGCGCAGACCAAAAGAAGTTGGTCTAGGGTGAAAATTTTCTAAAAATAGAGGTGCTAACCCCCTACTCTCATGGATACATCTCTGGATGTAAAAAACCAAAAATATACCTCGAAACAATGAGGGCATGGTAAATTCTGCTTTCCAGGAAATTCAAAATTGTCTACACCTAGAGTGCAGGAGATTGCAATGAGCAGTACTAATGTGACAATGGCCAGAGCTAATTTTCATATATAGAGGCACATTATAGGGTTGGGTCTGATTGGGTTAGGTTGGATTGAGTTGGATCGGGTCGGATTGGGTTGGGTTGAGTGGGGGTGTGGGTGTGAGCATCGTTTAAGAGACGATAGACATCCACACCCATACCGATACCCACACTGCACACCCACACCACATACACACCACACCCACACCGATACCCACACCCTACACCCACCACCCACACCCTACACCCACCACCCACACCCACACCCACACTCTTTCAGCTGATTGTGACGCCTATGCTTTTTTTGAAAAAAAAAAGAGTAATTGTTCAAGTATCAGACAACCTTTCACATGAATATCAAAGCGAGAATGCAATAATTGGTGATGGGAAGGTGATGGCGAAAAAATTTGAGTTTTTCCTGTGTTGTTTTGAATAAATCTTTTCTTCAATAAAGTCTTATACTAATTTGAAGTTCGTAATACAATGTCAGATGACTTAGTACTTAAACTTTCATACATCATGTCTTTCAGAAATATTAAATTGAAACAACAAAAGTTTTGTTGCTAGACTGTTCATTATTTCATGGGAAAGGGGTGATAAAATAGTCATTTAAAACTTAATTGCTTCCCCTAAAAAATTGAGCTTATGCCGTCCATGCATGTACATATATGGCATGAATAGACTGATGAAAACTTTGATTACCAGAAAATTACTCTTCAGCGTACTGTTAGCCTGAATGATAATTATATCAGTTAATAACTCAACAAGCTCTACAAATTGACATCACCAAAATTTTAAAAGCGATCTATCAATCCGTTACCTTCTCCCATAAGATCAAAATTAATCTCACAGATGTCTACTTTGAATGCTAAAAAGATTTTCGAAATCTCGAGAAATGGTTGGACGATATCTAAAAATCTTTTCTTTACAAAAGAATTTCTTCGTCAATCAAAAAAAAAATGTAACAATATAAATACTTACTTTATAACGGTAGGAAAGAAATCTTCTTCACAGAGTGCAACTTTTTGAGATAACAATCCAAGGAGGAAACAGCGGACTTGAAGTAGAAAAGTACATCAAATTACGTCAAAGTAGTCTACTTGAAGTGGTCTAAAGTAGCATCCAAGTAGCCCAAAGTAGGAACAAGTGGCTTAAAGTAACTTCAAGTAACTTGAAGTGAATTTGAAGTTGAAAAGTACTTCAAAGTAAGCTACTTGAAGTAGGTTAAAATAAGAGATGGGAACAGGACAGGACGGTGCGGCCGTCCTGGTGTCCTGTCCTGCAGGGCAGGGCAGGTTGTATCAGCTTGTCCTGTATTTTTAGATGTAATGTTCTTATGAATTTTTATATAAAGTTTTTCTTAGATTATTTGTATAATACTTATCATAATCGGTTACATTTGACATATTTACTATCAGTTCTAGGTGTCAATATCAAAGTGACAAGCAATGCTCGTATTACATTAATCGACAAAAATTTTAAACTGCGAGGGAGCATACAATACAGTGATAAAAAAAATAAATAAAGGCAGATAATCACTAGTTATCGATGGTTATTGGTTCATCCGTGCTTATATTGCTTTCTTGTTCAATCCTACGTTGTTTTAATGACTTTTAGATTTCTAACGTTTTCAAAACAAGGTAATTTATAAATGTAGTTGAAATATCTGCATTACTTAAAGCTCCTCTCAATTCAGAAAAAAAGAAAACTTTAACTCGATTCAGAAAAAAATATAGTTGTCAAAAACGAATCATCAACAGTATTCTCATCTTGATGGAACGCATTTGGATTTTCAGCTAAATTAGATAAAAATAATCAGTATCAATGTATTTTCGGGCACGTTAGCTGCTTCAAGTACTTTCAAACATTTATTAAGTTATTGAAAAACACTCATTGATCAGTTACCTTTTTTGTGTTGCTCTTGATATAATTACTATATGATACTATGATGACTATTATGAAACGTTCACGCTTCTTGTTTTGCAATGTAATTTTGCGTAATGAGCATGTTATTAAGGCTAATTCACTTGTCGTGTTTATTTCGTATTATTCAGTTAAACATCGCTTAAGAATAGAATTGTGATGTTTACAACTGTATGGAATAAATTGATTACAAGATGATCGAGATGTTTAATATATGCTTCACTTGATAGAAAATTAAAGATGTTATGTTCGTCCTGCTCTGCCGCTCGACAGGACGGAGGTCGATTGCAGGATAGGAAGGGAAAAGTTGTCCTGTTCCCATCTCTGGTTAAAATAGCTCCAAGTAACTTCAAGTCCAAAAGTCCGCTGTTTCCCCCTTGTAACAATCTGTTTCAAAGAAAAAGATTATCATAAACTAACTTTAACATACAAATCTTTACCTTTTTACAGCAAAATTTGCTATTTGTTCCATTATTTGAAATGCTTCTTTAATTTTTCTAAACATTGTAAAATCATGTACATATAAGCGAGTACATACACGTATTGTTTCTGATACATAATTATGTATACGTTCAATTTACTAAAATAAATATATTATTATCATAAATAAAATATTTAATATAACTTACAATAATATCTGTAAATTTTATAACAAGTGTTATATCTTTTCCAAGTATATTTGAATAAAAACATAGTTAATTTACAGATAAATAAAGTAAACCTTGCTGAGATACACGATCATGCCAATAAGAACATGAATAATCTTTAAAAAAAGAACATATTTTATAAAAAAAAAAAATATGAAAATTGACTTTTTAAAGTATACTTGCTGATTACAAGTTTTTCATTGACTGACATATTAAATAATTTCTAAATTGCTTTTGTTTCATTTATTTGAAGCCTTGTCCTAGAAAATTCAAATATTTAATTTTACAAATTTATTTTTCTTTACTGCACTTGAAATGGTCTCACCTTAAATATGCAAACTTGAACAATCGTCCTCATCTACTTCACCCGAACCATCATTGAAAACTTCATCTTGATAATGGAAAGTATCATTTTGTACATAGTACTTTTTTGGTTGTTGTGGAGTCAATACGAATGTTTGCATGAAACGACGTATTGGATCACCATTATTCGATAATTCACCGGTAACCCAAAGAAAATATAAAAAACAATGTTTTTTTTTTATGTTTAAAATTTTCATTGGAACAAAAAAGAAATTCTAATTAATAATATTAACCTGAACTACAACTCCATCACAAATAGTTGAATGTGATTCGATCTGACGAATCTTTGCATGACAATCCTGTAAATTAAGATCATTAATTCATTGAGAAATATTTTCCGGGCCGATAACACGTTGTTCAACACAATCTAGTCGATCAACAGTACCATGAATGAATTTATTATCCGTAGAATAAAATCTAAATTTAAAGAGAAAAAATAAATATATTGAATAGAAAAACAACAATCTAGAGTACCGATGAAGCAAATGAGAATCCTGATGTAATATTGATGGATGAATGCATGGTATACCTAATTAAATAATATGAAATTCCTAATGAAAACAAAGAAATAAACACACGCATCAAACGGGGTCGGACTTGTTTGCACCATATTATTAGTTTGTTGAAGAGATAGGATGGAACGAGATCGCCATTCGTTTAGCTGGTGTTTCACTGGTAACATTAAAGCTGATGTTCTCCCTCATAAAAAGTGTTCCACTGTGTGATGTTAACATCACACAGTGGAACACCAGCTTTAATATTACTAGTGGAACACTAGCTAAAGGAATACCGATGAGATCTAAAATCAAAGAAAGGTAATCGAGACAATTTATTTGTTAACAATAGTAACACAATAAATGAGTGAGAGAAAGAGCAAAGATGGACGGACAATAAGTCGGTGTATAGATGCAGTTGCTAACAAAGCAGACAAAAGTTAGCAGCACAATGAGAGATTGACATAACAAAGATCATGGCAGTGTGCTAGAGCCCGGTGGTTCCAAAAAACATGGAACCGAGAACCGAAATTGGAATCGTTTTTAACAGCTACTCAGAATCGGAGCCGGAACCGGGACCGGGAGAAAGAAAAAAATGGACCCAGAACCGGAACCGTTGGAATCGAAAAATTCTTGACGACGATTGGTGTCATCTATATGGTTTATTGTACTATGATTAGAGCCCGACGGTTCCAAAAAAAATGGAACTGAGAACCGAAAATGGAACCGCTTTTTTTCAAGTTTACTATCCGGAACCGTCGGGCTCTACAGGTAGGGGCGTAACCAGAAAAAAGGCGTAGAGGGGGCTCTGCCCCCTCCTCCCAATAGCGCACATAATCTCTGAGATAGGTAGTGGTGGAACTGTTTCGCTCTTTCATGAAAAATTAACTCTGTTTGCCATTTTTGGAATGAGTTTCTCATAATAACAGCGCAATATAAATTATTTTTCGCGTTGGTTTTTAGTGTTGATGACACAATAATCGCGTAAAAATATTTAATGTTTGTTTCGCCAGGAAACACTCTCAAAGACGCAATTTTTCGTAAAAAAATAAAACATTTTTTTCAAAAAACTATATAAATTCATATTTCGAGTGACAAGCGCAAAACGAAGTTAGTTGTCTTATACCCACAGCCGCCTTTGGCGGCTAGACTCTGAATAGTTATTTCAAAAAAAGAAGACCACTATGAACGGTGAAAGAACGCTTTATTGCTGGAAGCAAATGAAAGAATGAAGCTTTATTCTAGATTTGAGTCGAAGTGAAAAAAAAAAGGGTTATTGATTAGAAAAAAGTATCTTGAAGTAACTGATTGGCGAAACGAATTTTTCTTGAATAATAAAGCAAGAAAATTGAGCTATAAAAATATGTTTCTCAAAAAATATCTTTCAGATTCCTCATTTGTTGCGTTGTGAATGAACTAGAAAGTGATTCAAAGGTTTGACTCTCTTTATTGTGACATTCTGTATACTGCATTACATATATTCTAAGTTTACTGAAATATACAGTCTTATGGGAGATGTCAAGGCTATCAGACGAAAATTAATTCAAATTCATAAGATGTCATGAAAAACCGTTGCCATTTTATTAATTGTGAGAAAGCATTTTCATCTTATATTTTTAGGAAATAAAAATATTTTTGTCATGTGCAAAGGATCCAAAGGTGATCAGACTGTTGTTTTAAGGTGCTTTAATAGATACATTTAGATGATCACATAGAATTCAACAAACTCAAAAAGAATATGCATGTCCAAACATATTCATACACATGTTTCGATGAAAAAAATCCTTGAAGAAAACTAGAAAACCAAATGTGAATCTTGCATATTTTTCGATAGAAAGAACAATCTGAGTTTTCGATGAGACCACTTCATTTGATTTTTTTAAATTAAGAACACTAAGTAAAACTTATTTCAAGTGAAAGCTTTCATCTTCCTGTACCAAACGATTCATTTCAATTACTAATTAGATGTATATATGGCATAGATAACGGGAATTTATATAGAGGAGTCGAAATCTGTGGCCATTCTTCAAATAAGCGCTACTAGAG